AATTCTTGCACTTAATTTTATAGCTCCTTAAAATAAAATAAAATGCATTCCTTAGGAGAAAGAGCAAGTTGTCAACTGTGACATGGTTTGTTTAACATAGTTTCTTTAATGCAATTTTGGCACATTAATTCTAACGGGCTATAAATTGAATCAATTCTGATTTTGTTAAAGTCTTTGAAAACAGTGTTACATTCTATTGAGCCAGATGCTTATCTTATAGTAAACAAATAGGGAGCATTTTGAAATCCAATATTTGCTACATTTTTTGATTAGCAAGCAGAAGGAATGGATGCAATCAATACTTGGACTCCCTGAGCAAAATTTATTTAATTCCTCTGTGAAAATCTTGCTTGATACTTAGGCTTGTCTCTGTTGCTGTCTGATCTCTTTGGTGGTTTTGAAGCTGCTGCCACCCTGGTCCAATACACCCCTGGACCACTTCAATTTTCCACCCTCGCCTGCCCATCCCTCACCCCACATACAGCCCACTGTTTACATAGCAATGATCTTTTAAAATTGTGTATCATGTTTAAAATCTCCAATGGCTTCCTATAACAGAATAAAATGCAAACACCCTCCATGGCTTAGAAAGCCTTGCTGAGTTGGCCCCTGTCTACCTTTCCAAACCATATCCCTCTACCCTCTTTCTGTTCCCATTGCTTCTAAAGCCCAAATTAGCACTCTGTTCTGGGAATACACCAAAAGTTTGCCCTACTGGGGTTTCCTCTGCATAGAACATTCACCCTCCCCCATGTTCTTCACATACCTGGCTTATTATTATTTATGTCTCTGTTCAAATATCACCTCCTCAAAGAGGATGCCCTGCCTTCCCTGACTAAAGCAGTTCTGCCTTCCCTCAGCCATCAGTTTAATTTGATTCATTCCTTTAATCCTCTCCAAACAGTCTTGAATATTTCTTTGCTTGTTTGTCTTCCATCTTGTTGCCAGAATGTAGGGACTTCTATGTATTACATAAAAAACTTAGATGTCTTTTTCACCTCTTTATCTACAGTGTGTAGAAAGTGGGAGCTCACTAAATTTAATAGGATGAATGAATAAATTCAAATCCTTGCATTTTTGTAGATGATCTAGTTAAAACCCCAAAAGGTCAGAGTGACATTAGGCTGGTGCATAGGTTTTCAGTTAGCTAACTAAAGGAATTATTTTATCAGTTGTTTATTTTTTCATTCCTTAAATCACTCAGCTAATAAATCACTTATTTCTTTATTGTACTCTATAATCTAAATTTGCATAAAGTTTTTATCCAATTATTTTATATATATATGACAGTATGTATTATATAAAAACATAAATTAGAATAATCTCAAAGATTATCACACTTACTGTCTCATTGGATCCTGAGAACACAGAAAGCAGTAAAAGGTTTCTTTTTCCCAGAAAAGACTATCTAATATACTGCTTAAAAATATTAAGTTATATATTCATAGATATTTAGAGAAATATCCTTTGGGAAAATATAAGCTAAACTAAATTCAGGACTGCAAACATGGATAACTGGAATGAATTTATATATCCAGAGGTTATCTCACTGAAATTAAAGATGTGCTTTTAGAGGCAAATGAAATTGAAGGCATGTGCAGACACAGGAAGAACAAAATAAATGACTCTACAGAGCTCAGAAAGTCTATGTTCACTTGAACTGTTCTATTTTTAATCTACCCCAACAGGTAACTCAATGCAATCAGCTAGAATTCTGCAGTATGGAAATGGTATAGGAGAGACAGATGAGGTACTAAAGACAAATACAATCAGTTTTTTGGAAGGACACAATCTTTTCTCTCAAAAAAAAAATTAAGTGCATTTATTATAATTTAGGCATTGTGGTAATTACTTTATATGCATTATCATCTCATTTAACACTTATAACATCTCTGTGAGTACTCTTTTCACCTACCTTAGATGAGAAAATAGAAGTAGAGTGGTACCTTTATCTATATATGGTCAGAGAGCAGTAAATGACGGATACTGGACTCGACCCTACCGCAACCTGAAAGCCTATTAAACATGTGAAAATGCCATCCTGTTGACCTTATCACATTTAAATGGGTCACCACTGTTTTTCCATATTTAGATGTACAATGTTAGGAGCCAGAAAATAATTCGTCCTTTTTAGAAGTCATTTCTTTTGTTACTACCTCGACTCCAAATGGTTTGTTTTAAAACTGAGCTCCTTCTTTTACAGGTTAAAACCTTGGAAGATCTTTAACAGAATGTTGAAAAAATTATGATATCTCTATACTTCAAACATTTTGAAAAAAATAACACAAATGAGTTCTGTTTTATGGGTTGTCCTAGAAGGACCTCCATGGTAGACTGTTTGGTGAATGCAGCAATGTGCAGGGGTATATGACCCCGTTTGGCATGTTAATTTGCACAAGAGTACGGAAAGATGTGGTCTATATTCTTATAAATGATTACCTAGTTGGGTGGAGAAATCTACTGTTAATTTCATTTTTATACATTTGTGTGTATGATCTGTTACAATAAGCATAGGTTACTTTTGTAGTTAATAATGATCACAGAGTAAATTTTTCCAAATTACTTATTTCTAACTACAATCTTCCTATGCGTTTGAGTAGCTTTCTCAGATGATTTTTTCTAATCTTGACCCTTTTTTACTCTTCTTTCAACCAAAGCACATTTTTTATTTGTTTTACACACTCAGCTTCCAGTTAAGATTTCCACTGAGCAAAAGATTCTCCAACAAAAATAAATTTGAAAATCATTGGTTCATGTCATCTGATTCAGTGACATGCCTGTTAGTCTGTTGGTAAAACCAGCTATTGGCTATTAGGTTTTCTGTACATGTACATGCACATTCATGATGCTATGTGCATTACTAATCTAAGGATTTTCATATTAATGAGAAGTTTCACATTGCTTTTTATTGTAATAGTCACACATATACAATTTGAGATTAAATATGAACTAAGCTTGGCTTGCTTAATTTGAATGATTGTTCTATTGATGGCATAGAGAGAGAGAATAGTAATTTGTAGTCCATGGTTTTGGTAATGAAATCACCAGATTACACAGAGTACATTCATTTGGTGTTAAGGCACCTTGAAAGGAAACTTCTAGGCAATGAGTTAAAACATTATCCTACGGTTTAAATGGGCTGTAATGTAGCTGAAAATTGGACAGAGTTAGAAAAGTGAATGTCTTAATCAAACCTGAACTATCATTTAGTTAGGAAGGGCTACAGAACAGGTATATAATTTTCCCTCCAGTCTACTTCAGAATAACCAGGAGATGGCTTAGATTATTCTTCCATTAAAACCCTAACACCGGCCGGGTGCGGGGGCTCACGCCTGTAATCCTAGCACTCTGGGAGGCTGAGGCGGGTGGATCGCTCAAGGTCAGGAGTTTGAGACCAGCCTGAGCAAGAACGAGACCCCGTCTCTACTAAAAATAGAAAGAAATTATCTGGACAACTAAAAATATATATAGATAGCAAAAATTAGCCAGGCATGGTGGTGTGTGCCTGTAGTCCCAGCTACTCGGGAGGCTGAGGCAGAAGGATCGCTTGAGCCCAGGAGTTTGAAGTTGCTGTGAGCTAGGCTGACGCCACGGCACTCTAGCCCGGGCAACAGAGTGAGACTCTGTCTCAAAAAAAAAAACAAAAAAACAAAAAATCCTAATATCAATCCCACAAAGCTATGGGAGAATCATTATTATTTTTACTCCTGCTATAATGTTACATTAATCAACTGCATGCATTTTACTGTTTCAAATTTGGGCTGAATATATAACAATCCTGTGGTTAGCATCATTTGTAGTAACTTAAATTTGATTCAACAAAGTTTTACTGAGTACTTACTAAACTCAATGCACTGTCTAGGTTTTGCAAACCCCATAAAGATGTGTAGAGCATAATTTCAGCTCTCTAGAAATTTACAATTTAATGAGAAAGATACACCCAGAACTAACTCTGATATAAAGCACAATATGATAAAGACTCTATCTAATACCAGTAAGAATGTAAGGTAGGTAGGGACTGCTTACACTTAATTCTAGTTTGGGCAGGGAGAAACTTCTGGGAAGAAGTAAACTTTTAGCTGAGGTTTAAAGGTCAAATAGGATTTGGCCAATAATGGGAGGACTTGGGGTTGGGGCATAGTGCCATGTAGGAAGGAAAGCAGTATGTGCCGATGGACAGTAAGAGTGGAGCACACTTACATTACAAGGAGTAAAACGAGATGAGGAAGGAAAGTGAAGTTGGGGCCAGATCAATGATGGCCTTAAATGAACATGATTAAATGTATGCTTTAAATCACCCCAAAGTCCATTCACAAGTAAGGAAGAGAAAGATATTGCTTGTGGTGGAGGTCTCCCCCTTTTGTGACTATAAAAATTACCACCCTTGTTTTTTATTTAACTTAAATAAGACAGGATTTCTTAAGATCTGTAACTCGAAACAGACATTTTATTATATTAGGTTATGTGGTCAGTTTTGGGGGGAGAGTGGTCAATGATGTTTTTAGTGAAATCAAGGAAAATACTGATGGGTTAAGCTATCGGGTTAGAGAGATTGGGAGCCAGTATAAAAACATTGTCCTGGGACACAGGTGAGACTAGGGAGGGTATAAAAGGGAGAGGCCCAGAAGAGTACGACTGGATGATCTCTCAACACCACCTGTAGAGTGTCGATATCTCCAATCTCCAAGTCTCAAGAATTGACTACTCTGAATGCAAGATTAACATACTAATTCACATATTTTCTTTGAACTAATCTAATCATCTAAATGTACCTCTGTTCTCTTCAGAGGAAACTCTCTAGCTCTTAGTTCACACAGAAGACAAATAACTCACGATCCCAAATGTCAACACCTCTTCCCACGAGCCTTTCTGCTCGCTCAGCCTAAGAGCTCCATCTACCTCTCTAGACTGAAGGACAAGAAAAGGAAACCCACAGATTCTTACATACAAGAATGGCCACCCGTCAACACAGTATGAGCCTAAGTGCTATTAAAACCTACCATTCTAACACCGTTTTCAAAGGCTTGCCGGGTGAGGGGGGCTGGTCCGTCCACAGTTTTGCCATCGTCGTCTGGGCCCCAGCTGGCGCTGTATATGTGCACGTGCTGGGGATTGAAGCTGACCGACTTCGCTTCCACCATGTCTGTGACATCTCCGTCCAGCATTCGCACTCCTTCAAAGCAGAAAGGAGAACTAGCTCATTACAAAGGCTTCACTATGTGACACCCAAAAAACCCAGTTGTAGGATTTTGGGGGAAAGAATAAATTATTAATCAACACTTCAGTGAGCATATTTTCCCCAGTAAAAGGTTAATGCACACTTTGTGGACACTGTCTTGGGGAGAAAGGAAATTACATTGCATGTAAAAAAGCAAAAGCAAAACTTCCTTAAAAATCTTTTTTATCTATTATTTTCTTTTTCCAAGTTCCCAGTCCCTACAATAGCCTGCACAAACTCTCTTCTCCTCAACTCTCTCCGTGTGAGTACTTGACAGAGACACCCTCAAGCAATCCGTCTTTCTTAAATTTCTCTTCATTGAATAACTTGTGTTCATAAGTGGTATAAAACATTCTAACATCGTACAAAATTTGGAAAGCTGCCAAGTTAGGTTGGTCTCATTTCTTCCATATTTAATATTATCCACTAATCTGTAAGACTGATGTGAACTTAATATATTTCTTTTTTGCTAAGTTATTAATAAGTCGAATTATAAATGAGCATGCTCTCTGTGCATGTAACACTTCAAATAGTTCTGAAACGGTTTCAGCAATGTTTAGTCATTAATCTTCACTTAAGTATATTCCCATCAGAAAGATAGGAATTTATTATTAACCTCATTTTACAAAATTAGACACTAAGATATTCAGAAATCAGTTATATGCCAAATGCCAGGCTTTCTTTTTTTTACTTTTATTTTGGAGACTAGAAAAAACAACACCAAAACATCTAATTGTTAAGTAAACATATCTCTCCTTCAGCTTAACCAAATACCATCTGTGAGACACTGTATTATTTTAAAATTATATCTTTACAGGTCAAATACAGTCCTTAGGAAAACCTTGTTATCCAGTAAGATTTCAAGATTTTATCGGTTATCAATAAATGGAGATTAAATAATAAAACCACAAATCAGGCAGCTTTCGATACTATTTGGATTGAGGTGGGAATACTGGTAGAAAACCAATATATTCTTAAAGAAACTGTGCCTTCTTTGTGCTGTAAAAAAATGTTTAACCTTTAACTACAAAACTTCAAAGAAAAATAGAAATCATGAACAAAAAACCTACATAGCCAGTACTCAACAACCGTTGACATTTTGCCACATTTTCTTAATCTAAAAATATAAATATTAGGTTGAACTGCTTTAAATTCCATGACAGATATGATCCTTCATCCTTTAATTTTATTTCTACAAAAAATATGAAAATAAGTCCCTACGGTCACCTAGCACCCAGTCAACATTACATTTCTTCCAAGTATCTCTAAAGACATTGCATTTGGTTGTTATGCTTCTTGATTGGCTTTTCTTCTAGACTTTTGGATATTTAAAGGAGATGCATTTTAAAAGGTGATGTGAAGAATGAAGGCTGTGAACAAGTCCCATTAAAAATTGTGGAATGGAAATTGTACTTACAAAGTGCGCCAGTGGTTTGTTTTATGGGAGTAGAAAACCCAGAATAATGTTCTGCATGTACTAGGTCCTGAGTAGCCACTGGTTTATTATAATTTAATATGAATATTCAAATTTCATCCACATGTTTTTTAGCAAAGAAAGATGAACTACCACATCTTCTTATTTTCTGTTTAAAAGCATAACATGAAACTACTTCATTAGTACAATGAGGTCTGAAATAAACACTTTAATTGCCCAAAATAATCTCACCGGTGTGTCTAAATGCCAGCATGAGACTAAGACACAACACCTGAATTTAGTTTCTGTGTCGTGCAATTTATATGAAGTCCATGAAAAAAATGCTTGCTAAATCATACCTAGAGGGTACTATTAATTTTCTGTTCAAAAATTCACAGAAAAGAATTTCATTTAGTCATGTTTAAAGATAAAAGTCTGCTTCTTTTTTCTCATTTAACTCCAAGCCTTCATGCCTTGGGTCTGGGGCTTAAATTTATAATTCAGAGTGTTCCTGTTTTAGACCATTTTTAAGTTATTGCTATACATTCAATTTTTTGGCTTTTCTTTTTTTTTTTTTTTTTTTTTGCTAAGGTACTGGTAAGCTTGGTCTGGAGTTTGTCTGTGAGTTCACAAGTTCATCCCCTCATTCCTCCAAGGTCAGTAAGAATGCTGGGTTTGTGTTCAGAGGGATGCTGAGGATCTGGGCTGTGTGTCTGTGGATGTGAGAGACTGTGTCCCGGACCAGCAGAAGGGTCGACTGGGCAGCCACTGATCGGATTCTCCTGAGAAGAGCGGGGGCCTCCAGAACACTCATCATTCTTCAAGGAATGTCATCTTCATCTCCTTTCCTCAGCTTCTCCACCTGCATTCCCTTTGACACATAGCAGATGCTCCCTGAGTATAGCTAATTACTGGTCATTCACCCTAAGAATTCAGGGTGAAATAAAGGAAACGAAGAGGTCAAATGTGCTGTCGACTGACACTCAAAGTAGTTTCAGAAAACCTTTTCTAAGCTCTGTTATATACTCTAAATATTTCATGGTATAGGACCTCTATATTTATATTCTTATCCTAGAAAGAACTGTCATTTTTATTTTTTGGTTCCAACTCTGCTTACCACTTGGAAACAAATAGTGCATTGGAAACAAGGAGGTCAGCCTGGTTCCAGAAGCTTCATTCATCTCAGGACACCTTTTAGGAGACCCCTAGGGAACACCTTGAGGCCAGGCATAATAAAGTCACCAGGCTCTATAAAATCTACTATAATGTTTTCTTCTCATTGTGTGTGGCTGTTGCTTACAAAGATGATTACAAATGGGAAACTTGGAGTTTGCTTTTATAAACGCTTGGCTTTATACTGCTTTGGCTGGGTGCTTACAGTAAACATATGCATAGTTGAGTTTGTACATAGGTGTGTATATGTACAGATATCTGAATCATTCATGAAAACTGTATCACTACATTACGGGACTACAAAAGAAGATTTTACCATTTACCATTTTAATTACAATTAAAAGGAACTTTTTGTCAAGCCTAAGCAAAAGAAATGAAAGGAACTTCTGCTTTGAGAAAATTTCAAAATTCTTCTTTCCACAGAGATACGGCCTGATGTTTATATTATTAGTTCTTTCTGACCCTGGCACCAATTATACAGTTTTGGTACAAATGTCAATGCCCATCTTCACTACTGGATAACCTTTTTTCGAGCCTGTTTAATAAGAAGTGTTTGCAACACGTTAGGGGTACTGCTTTGGAAGTCTTTAACTGTTTTTATCTGAAGTCTTGAACTATATTTAACTCATATGTTAATATGGTCATTTTGCTGTCACCAATAGTTGAACACTATTATAGAAAGATATGCCTAGTAGTTCATCTTTCATTTAAAAAGGGTTCTGAAAGCCAGTTAGCGAAAGAGCTAACTGGCTCGTTTCTATACCCACGTAAGTTTGTTTCCCATACCTCCGATCTTGGCGTTGAAAGCAATGCCGACCGTACAGTGGGAGTTGTTTGCAGCGGCTGCCACTTCTCCAGCACAGCGGGTCCCATGCCTGCAGGCAGAACACACACACCTTCTAAAGCAAGACGCTCCATTCTCACAAACTCTCCAGGTCATTGCCACCACTCAGACTTCAAAGTGGTGAAGAAGGTACCCAGCTGTGGCCTTTCTGGAACTTCCTTCCCAAGTAGCACTTGGTCCATGGCAAACTTTTAGCACTTAATTGTATTGTTTTGGATTATGTTCTGAATATGTTTATTCTTGCCATCTTGCTTTTCCAATCAGAAAATCTCCTTGAAGGCTAAAACCAATTGGTGTGTTTTGTATACTCCAAACTTCTACTGACCCATCTGGGGGCCACCAGCCACATGTGGCTATCAGGCACTTGAAATGTGGCTGGTGCAACCCCATCTCAATTTTTAATTTTATTTAATTTTAATTAAATTTCAAAAACTAATACACAATTCCATTAGTAGAAAATTTGAGATGGGTATGAGAATCTGCTTTGTAAATTGAAAATTTAAATACAGATCAAGTATTTCCAAAGAAAATTCATTATCTAAAACAAGATGCACTGTAAACACACACTGGGTTCCAAAAATTACATATGAAAAAATGAAAGGGTAAAATATATCAATAATTGTTTTATATCATTACATGCTGAAATATTTTATCTAATAAAATATATTATCAACATCTATATCACCAGTTCGTTTTCACCTTTTTACTGTTTTTTTTAAAACGTGGATACTACTAAATTAAAAATTATTTTCCGAAAGGGATTCCCTGTTATTTCTTGCCACAATAATTTTGTTCCTTGATCAAAAAAGTCTTTTAGCTGAAAGGATTTCTAAGATCATCTTGTTATAAGGATGGCAAAGAACTTCCAAGTATAAAGTACAATTTGCTTACAAATGGTGGCTTAAAACAGTATGAGAAGAATATTTGCTTGGAAATGGTGGCCTAAAACTGTATGTTGAGAAGAATTCTAAGGCATATTGGAGCCCAGAGAAAGAACACTAGGACTGACGACTAATGTGTGCCATGGCTGCAGAGGAGGCATGTGACAGTTATTTCAGTGTATTTTACAGCAAAACTGGCTCAGACTACACTCGTCATGGGGTATATTTCTGCCGTCTGTGCAACTATAAACAAGTTACTGCTTACAACTGATAGGCACACATGCAAGTTTACATCAAAGAGATATTACATACTGCTTTCTGTTACTTAGTAATGTCATGCTTATATTTCTATATAAATATTAACCTATATGTTATTTTAAGGGTTACTAATCTATTGTGTAATTCTTTAAATGGTATATATACAAATATGTGTGAGGTGTGTGTGTGTGTGTGTGTGTGTGTGTATATCTTTCTGTATGTATATACACACACTATAAGCTCTTTAATAAGTCTTTTATTTCTGGAACTTTACCCAGTTGTTCACTAATGTTAACAAAGATATTAAGAACAACCTTGAGTATGTATATCATTTTATACCTTGGGACAAACTCCTAGAAGTAGAATTACTGGATCAAAGAGTACAGAATACTTTGTCAAACTGTTAACAACACATGAAAATAATATAACCAAACCACATAAAAACTGCAAGACTGAAAATATTACAATACAATAAAAGTTTCAAAATACCAATGAAAGAAATTGAAGAGGACACAAACAAATGGAAAGACATTCCATGTTCATGGATTGGAAGAAGTAATAATAATTTTCATATTACTCAAAGCGACCCACAGGCCAGGCGCGGTGGCTCACGCCTGTAATCCTAGCACTCTGGGAGGCCAAGGCGGGCGGATTGTTTGAGCTCAGGAGTTCGAAACCAGCCTGAGCAAGACCGAGACCCCGTCTCTACTAAAAATAGAAAGAAATTAATCAGACAACTAAAAATATATAGAAAAAAATTAGCCGGGTGTGGTGGCGCATGCCTGTAGTCCCAGCTACTCGGGAGGCTGAGGCAGAAGGATCGCTTGAGCCCAGGAGTTTGAGGTTGCTGTGAGCTAAGCTAACGCCACGGCACTCACTCCAGCCCGGGCAAAAGAGACTCTCTCAAAAAAAAAAAAAAGCGACCCACAGATTTAGTGCAATCCCTATGGAAACACCAATGACATTCTTCACAGAAATAGAAAAAAAAAATTGTTAAAATTTGTATGGAACCACGAAAGACCCCAAATAGCCAAAGCAATCCTAAGCAAAAAGAACAAAGATGGAGGCATCACACTATCAGACTTTAAAATATATCACAAAGCTATAGTAACCAAAAGAGCATTGTACTGGCATAAAAACAAAGACCAATGGAACAGAATAGAGAACACAGAAATAAATTCATGCATATATAGCCAATTCATTTTTGACAAGGGTGACTGGGGAAAGGGCAGTCTTTTCAATAAATGGTGCTGGGAAAATTAGATATCCATATATAGAAAAATGAAACTAGATTCCTATCTCTCACCATATACAAAAATTAAATCAAAATGGACTAAAGATTTAAATAATGTAAGACCTGACACTGTGAAACTACTAGAAGAAAACATTGGAGAAATGTTTCAGGACATTGGCCTGGGCAAAGATTTTTTGGGTAAGACATCAAAAGTACTGGCAACAAAAACAAAAATAGACAAATAGGATTACAACAAGCTACAAAGCTTCTGCACAGCAAATAAAAAAAAAAAAAACCCGATCAACAGAATGAAAAGACAACTTACAGAATGGAAGAAAATATTTACAATCTATCCATCTGACAGATTAATAACAAGAATGTATAAGGAACTAAACGCATTAATAAAAACATAATTCAATTTAAAAATGGGCAAATGATCTGAATAGACATTTCTCAAAAGAAGACACACAAATGGTCAAAAAAGTATATGAAAAACTGCTAATCATTGGGGAAATGCAAATCAAAACCACAATGAGATATTATCTCACCCCACTTAAAATGGCTATTATCAAAAAGACAACAAATAATAAATGTTGGCGAGGATGTGGAGAAAGGGGAATGCTAGCACACTCTTGGTGGGGATGTGATAGTACAGCCACTATGGAAAACAGTATGGAGTTTCCTCAAAAAACTACAAATAGATCTGCCATATGACCCAGCAATCCCACTGCTGAGTGTACATCCAAAATAAAGAAAATCAGTACATCAAAGAGATATCTGCACTATCCACAACAGCTAAGATATACATGCAACCCGAAGCGTCCATCACCAGATGAATGGATAAAGAAAATGTGGTGTAGAGCTGGGCGTGGTGGCTCATGCCTGTAATCCCAGCACTTTGATAGGCCGAGTCAGGAAGATCACTTGAGGCCAGGAGTTTGAGACCAGCCTGGGCAATAGAGAGACCCCATCTCTACAAAAAATGGAAAAATTAGCCAGATGTGCTGGTCCATGCCTATAGCATGCCTGGCTAATTTTTTTATTTTATTTTTTGTAGAGACAGGGTCTTGCTATATTGCTCAGGCTGGTTCCAAACTCCTGGCCTCAAACAATCCTCCTGCCAAGTCACCACACCTGGCCAAAATGTTCAATTTTTAAAAGAAAAACTATTTCTTTGGAAGCTTCAAGCTCAGCTATCAATTTTCCCCTGAACCTAGTAATTAATAATTATCATTCTTCATTAAGCTCTTATTGCATATTACTTCATGGCGTAAGTTATTTTTATTCAAATCTCTAATTCTCTTAATTAGAATACTGTTCTTATACTTCATTGTATCTATTATTAATTAATGCCAGGTGCTACTGGAGTATAAGGGCCTCTATTTTTAAATTGAGCTCTGGTTTATTCTTTGGCTTATAGGTCACTTATAAGTATGTTTTGATATTTTCAAATGTATGTAGGTAATTAATTATCTTTTGATAACAATTAACTTGATTACCTTATGATAAAAGAATATAATTTCTATGAATCAATCCTTTGAATTTTGTGAGACTTAATGACCAAGTTCATGATCAATGTTAATAAATATTCCATGTGCTTAAAAATGATATATATCCTCCAATTATTCTTTATACATCCATTATATCAAGCTCATTTATTACAGCGTGGATTTGTTAATGTGCTTTGCAGTTCTATCAATTTTGTTTTATTTAGAATGGAATCATTAATCTTCCTAGTGAAACAAATCATTTGTGAATGTGTAGTAACACTACAGCTCTTCAGTAAAAAGAAATAAATATATCTAGTTACTATTTAATTTATATATTATTTTATTCTTTTTACTTTCAAACATTCTATGTTCGTATTAGTTATGTCTCTTATCAATAGAATATAATTTTTTTGAAGCTAGACTATCTGTCTCTAACTAGAGACTAAGTCCATTTATTGTAGCTGTGTTTATTGATACATTTATGTTTGTTTCTATAATTATTTCCCTATAATAGTTTGGTTATTATAATTCTATTATTTAGTGATAATCCTAGGTATTTGATCACAGATACCTAAAAACACAAAGTCTAAAGTCACCCTCTTTTTCTAAACAATACAAAATTTAGAATGTTTTAACTCTGATTGCCCATATATCTCTCATGCCCATGTATGAGCTTCCCATGATTAAAATGATATCTTGGATTTTTTAAGCCTAGAAATTACTCATTACTGTTACTAATTTAAATAATCGATGTTTATATAGATTTACAAATAAAGTTGACCCTTAAACAAGGGTTTGAACCGGTTGGGTCTACTTATATGTAGATCTTCTTCTGCCTCTGCTACCCCTGAGACGGTAAGACCAACCTCTTTTCTTCCTCCTCCTCTTTCTCAGCCTAGTCAATGTGAAGAAGATGACAATGAAGACATTTATGATGATCCACTTCCACGTAATGAACAGTAAAATAATATTCTCTTCCTTATGATTTTCTTAATAATGCTTTCTTTCTATAGTTTACTGTATTACAAGAATACAGTATATAATACATATAACATACAAAATATGCATTAGTCAACTGTTTAAGTTATTGGTAAGCCTTTCAGTCAATAGTAGGCTATGAGTAGTTAACTTTTGAGGAAGTCAAAAGTTATACATGAGGTTTTAACTG